TATTATTTATGTTATAAAAAGAATAGCTTACTAATATACAGAGTTGTTGTTAGTAAGCTTTCTGAGTTGGAAAGTCAGAAAGCTGGAGCATATTCTACTGCTTGAAATGAAACATTTGGACAACAGATACTTCTGAAGATGCATTCACCATTATTAAATAAAAATTTTTTGTCAAAAGAGTCACTAATAGGTAATACAAAAGCTATGCAAATCACAAACAGTTATAAATGTTTAATATGTATTCCATTGTTTTCAGTAATGTTTTCCATTTGCAAAAACATGTTTTCTACCATTGAATGCTATGGGTTCTTTAATTGAAGAACATGCTGATGAATGCTGTCCTTAGATCTGACATAGATGCACATCTTTCATGACAGACTTGGTTCTTCAAGAACCTCATAAGAAGTCACATCCCATGGGGTGAAATCAAGCAAGCAAGGAGACCGAGCTGTTGGGAATTAATGGCTTAGCACCCATTCACCTGTGAAATTTACCTTCACAAACATTGAACAGAGTAAGCAATGTGGGTTGTGCACTATCTTGCATGAATATTGTATCATAAAAGCACCAACGTTGAAGTTCTGGTATAACAAATGTTGCCAACATGTTAAAATACTGTTCTCCAGTGATGGAATGGGTTTGGATTCTAGATCTGTAAGGTTACTGAATGGGTGCAATTTTCGGGATGTTGAGGGGTTGTGATAATTATGCATAGGAGTGATTTAGACACTGAGACAGGCTTACCATTTACACTTTGATCCCATTTAATAAAATAAAAATATTCTTACAAAATTTTGCTATAGTCATCTTTACAATTCTTCTTTGATACTTCTGTTTAAGAAGAGAGACAAAAATTTCAAATGTTGCAGTGAATGTATTCACTTGGTCCCTTGAGGATTGTCTTCTAGAAGATTAATGGCCCCGGAGCTTGTGGGTAAGTTCAGATCCGAACAGATACATGATGTCAAATGCTGTATTTGGTTACAGCTGGACGTTTGATCACATGACACAGGGATCTTGGAGTCAGCATATCCTGGTAGATTCCAGACCAGCCAAAATATGACAGATCTTAGAGAAGTAAGCATAGTGTCCTTGAAACCTGAGTTTTTAAAGGGTTTCTCTCTTCTATTTTGCATTCTGATTGATCTTCCCTCATCTCCCAGTGACAATTCAAAACCTTCTAGGGGCACAAGAGAGGTTGATATCAATACTCAACCCAATCCTAATTGGATAAAATTCCTTCAAACTTTGAAATTCTCCTTCATAATTCAAGCTTTTTGTTTTTTTCTGACAGAAAGAAAATTCTTTATTATCTTTGTGAGACTATAAATTTTGCATCTGGTTTTATTTTCGAAAGGTGAAAGTTCAACTGTCCTGTTAGATATCCATTAACATTTAAACACTAAAATCTGATTTTTTTCCAGGACCTCACAGTTGCATAGCTTCAGTGCTACTGATTGGTGACTTTCTGTATGAAAACTTTTTATTTAATAAATGGTAAGTGCATTATCTGAAATACCTGTAGTCCAAATGTTTGATTTCAAGCAATAGAACACACTACAGAGCCTTCCAAGTTGGGGAAGTTATACAGGTTGTTTTTTAACAACCTGTATGAATTTTGCTAAATTATGCTTTTAAAATTGTCACACACTCATTTTCTGATAAATGTATCATGGAGACATTATTGATTTTATAATGTTTAAAAACTTTAACTAAAGTATTGAAAAATATTTCATTTAAATAATTTGATGCAGTAAGTTAATGAAGCAGATACAATATTTTCTATTATTCCATTTTTAGTCTATTTGATTTTATTGTCTGTCATAGAAACTTTTTAAATTTTTCTTTTATCATATTAATTAATCTTTAACTTTTAGTTAAACTTAAATGTATTTATACATTAAGAAATGTATAAATACATTTAAGCTTGCAAAAAATTACAAATTCTTAGTTAATTATTTGTATTAAATTCTCAATTGATCTTATTATATTTTAGTTTATGCAGTTCAAGCAAATTCCTAAGCAATTTCCTATGTAAGCATATATTCATAATTATAATGTTTACTTAATTTTTTTTATATGATTAAAGTAAGAATTTAAATTTCAGATCATATAAAGAAGTATTACATTAAAATCATTTAAGATTTTGCCAAAAATATGCTTTGTGTTATAACTTTGAATCCTGTGTAATGTTTAAGTATAGTTTCATGAAAATGCAATATTTTTCTACATATTTATTCATAGTAAAACTGAACTTTTTAATTTAGAAATTAGATATTGTAAAGTAAAAATAGGTTTTTGTAAAATTAACATTTTTATTCTCACAAAATGTTTAAAGGTTTTACTTGTTTAAAAAATATTCATTTTATTGAATGTAAAAATGTTTGATAGTGTTCCATTCCATAACTAGTCAAAATATTTGTTTACAATATATTTTATTTAGTTTTAAAGAAAACGATTCAAACAAAATTTCCTAATTTAAACATGGGTTATTTTTAATTAAATAATTTATGTATAAATTAATTACAGGAAAGTACAGATAACAATTTTGATATGAAAAATACAGTAGAACCTCGATTATCCGGACCTCTATTATCCGGATTTTCGATTATCCGGATTGTTCAAAATAAACAAAAATTTTACGAATTTGCTGATTTGCACTTGGCGAATTACGATACTGTTTATGTACGTGATGGAATGCATAACTTTTTTTGTTTCAACAACGNTGAGAATATCAATTTGTTTTTAATGTGTTTACTTATCATGAGACATACTTTATATAAATTAATCTGTACAAAAGTTGGCAATGAAGAAATGTCTCATTTTCAATTATATTTATATTCAAAATGTAGTTCTATTAAACTAATCTTGTATTTTCACAGAATGACCAGCATACCATATAAAAACGGGGAGACCAGCATCCTGGAAACCCTGGGGTTACTGGCATGCCAGTTAAACTGAGACTAAAATATAAAATTAATCAGATATAATAAAACTAGTTGTTAATTAAATGTTAAAGAAAACATTCTTTGGAGTAACACAAAATATTTTAACCTTTGTTAAACATCAGTTCATTTCTATTGAAAATGATATGTCACTTCATTATTTTTTATATTATTAATAATTAATATAATTTTACAAAGTTTACAAGTATAATTTTTCCTGTGGTCTAAAACTTTAATTAATTTAACTTTTTGATTACATTCTAAAATATTAATGGTACTTTCCTTTGTTCTAGTAAATGACAATTCCTTTTCCTAAATTACAAATAAAATTTCAAGAAAATACATGAATTTTAGCTTGTAATATGTTAGCTAAAATAAGTTTTATTTGCTATAGTTTGTTTATTAAATGTTTGAGTTTTAAAAGCTTGGTAAACAAAAGATACTAAGTTTAACTGTTTAAGGAGTTGATTATTTACAGAGTTTGTTTAGAAGGATCTTTCTTTATTCAATTTTGATATCTGATTACAATTTGTCAGTCAGTAGTTGGCATCAGTGATGCCAGCAGTAGCATAACTGCTATTAACCATGGTTAAGCAATGCTTGAAGGCTCATGACATAAGAGAGCACAGACCAGACTATGGCAACCACCAGTGTTGGAGTGGATAAAATTGCTGATCACTGTATTAACAGGTCACTCTAGTGCATTTTCCAGTCTTTTACAAACAAGACACAGAGCAAGACAGTTTTTAACACTTCTGAATTAACATTTATTTCATAGATATCTGCTACAGTTGAGCGCCTTCTCGGTACAAAAACTAACAAACATAAATTGATTTACACTTGACATCTTCCTTTACAACAACAAAAAATAAATAAATAAATAACTGATAAACAGAGAGAAAAGAAAATAAAGACAGAGAATGTTCATTTGTAAATCCAATTGTTTCGGAGAATGACTTATTCTCCTGGAGCAAGTAGTCACTCCATTAGAGTATGAAAAGATATCCTTTGGTCAATGACATCACTTGATGCTGTCAGATCCAGAAACTGAACTACGTCTTGGTGTTCTGAGCTTCCTTCACTTCCTGACTGCAATTAAGACTTAGAAGGTTAATTGCTACTTGGCATTTGGGTGATATCCTTGTTGTAGTTGGTCTTAGCACTTCACTGTTGTGACGAAGTGTTCTGTCGTCACCAGTTCTAATTATATAACAAAAACGCGAGGTCACCGCTGAGATATAGCTGGAACCCAATTTCTAGGTGCAGTCCTCAGTAACTGATTGACCTTGCAGATTCATTTCTTGGAGAAGTAGTGGCTGCCACACGTTGCTTTTCTCTGATTACTTGAAGAGATGCGGATGATGATTTTCTAGGCAACCGTGACAATGGATGCAAGGGTATTAAAGCACGAGTAGGTCGTCCAAAAAGATGTTGGGCAGGAGAGAGAAGGTTTCCTCGGAGTATTCCTCCAGTTTAAAAGTGCCAGTTGTATTCCGTCTGTTCCATAGCACAACGTCTCAAGCAATGTTCTTTCTAAGCTGCGCGGCCGCGCACTGCTCAAATTGTTGCCGCGCAGGAGAGCATGCACACCGATTTTAATTGTTGTTTACTTTTTTCTCACTCTGTCTGCAACATGATTATTGCTACGTATATTTCGATTAAATACATTAAATCATTCACAAAAGATAATATTTTGTATAAACGTATGTTTTAAAATGAATTTTAATCTCTAAATATATAAATGTATAAATAATCAGCACTTTCTACGTGACCTTTTCGTGGTAACTGTATTAGTGACGTCAAATTTTAACACATGCTAGTTTTTACTTACTCCTTACCTACACGCGTTTAGTAACTTTCCTATTATAATATTGTCACGTGCTTCGAGTTAACAAGTTAATAATTAAGTGAAGGATGCTGTAAAAGCACGTGCGGAACTCGAACCCCTGATTCTTTATTCTTTCTTTTTCCGGATACTGGGAAGTGCTGGTTAGACTATAAATGTCGAGAGTTATCTTCCACGTAGACGGGATAAGTCACGTAGAGGAAACAATCGGCGTAAGAGCGTACGCGTGACTACGTCACGCTTACGCTCACACTTCTGATGCGTGTGTGGCGTGTTACACCGGTGTCGAGGTAAGTAAAGAAAGCGGCCGGGACGAACATTGCCTAGATTGGGAGGCCGCAGGGGGGGGAGAGATAAGATAAGTTATTTATCCACCGATCCGGATAGACGGTGGAGTACCCACGGGATTTTCGGGTATTACAATTCGTTACTAAATTCCTCTTCCCCACTCCGTCCCGCCCGTCTACCAATCGGCGGTTTGGGGGTAAAGTGAAGGAAGAGGAAGATCTAGGCAGTGTGTCCCTGAACTTTTCATCATTCTGACATGATTGTACTTGTCGTCCATAGGGGTAACCATCCTGCTCTCTCTGACGGTGTTTATGCTGCAGTTGGCTGAAACCATGCCACCGACATCAGATGCTGTGTCCATCATAGGTGCGGACAGTAGACACAGTATATCCATGTTTTAAACGAAAAAAAAAAAAAATAAAAAAGTGCATGGGATGGAACAGAGTAGTTGAGACTATGGTGTAGATGTTTTTTTCTTTAACAGACAGGAACGAGAGACTTTATAATATTGCACTCCTCCCTAATTATCGCACGGTTTGTCCGTTCACAGGGATCACCATTCTTCTGTCCTTGACTGTGTTTAATCTGCTGGTCACAGACACCCTTCCGGTGACCTCTGATGCAGTTGCCATAATAGGTGCGAACAAAATAAATAATAGATAACTACACTGATGCGCTCTCTCTCTATCTCTCTCTCGACACGTATTCTTTTATACTTAGAATCTTAAATGTAAAAAAAAAAGAAAAAAAAAATATGATGACTCGAGGCAGGACTGAGCTACTTTTTCTCCAAGAGAGCGATTTTTATGCAGGAGTCACCGACTGTTCGCTATATATATATATAACGCACCTAGCTTAAACGCGTCCCTCCTACTTATCCCTTTTTGTTAGTATTTATACGTTACTTTCGCCACGTTGCTTGTTTTATGTTCTTGCACTTCACCCACGTTTGGCCCAGGCTGGCCCCCTCCTTTGACCTCTCGTCTTAAAAAAAAAAAAATAATAATAATAATAATAATCCTGCCGCGCGAGAAAACAGAAAGTACGTCTGTCGTCCTGCTCTGACCCGGTTCCGTGACCTCCTAAATAAATAAATAAATAAATTCGAATACCCGCTTCCATTTTCCGGTTGGTCTACCGGAAGGATCTTTTTTTTTTTTTTTTTTTTTTTTTTTTTGAGATATCGGAAGTTACGAAAGCGCTACGTCAGAGTGACGAACATTTCGTAATTTCTGACATCATCTCGAGAACTCGAAAGATAATTAGGAGGTCACGGAGCCGTGCTTAACTCGAGTAGATCTATTATTATTATTCTCTTTCTAAAATTTCAATTTTGTTTTTGTTTTTTTCTTAACTTACAAATTTCAAAAATAATTAACGTTTTACCCTGTGTTAGACACTGGTTGTTTTTTTTTTTTTCTGGAGTACGAAGACAACAGAAAAATTTAAAGCCCCCTTCCCCCTAAAACTGGATTGGCAACCCGTCTAAGGTTTTAAGATGACATCTATAGTGGATTTATGTATACTGTATTTATATATGTGTATACATTTACTGTCAGTCAGGTCGTTCCCGCTAGTGAGTTGCAACCGCTAGTCGGAAAATTTACCACCCTACACGAGAAGAAATACAAAAAAGAAAAAAAAACGACTTTTCCTATTGGTTTAAACGTACACAATACCGTACGACCTACTTTCTTGACGAAGGACACGCGTCACGCAGAGTGGACGATGACGTAACACGTAGACATTTGTCAAAATTCCATTACTCTTCTATGACGGATGCTTTCATCCACCCCCCTCCCTACTTGTCGGCGACGAAACTCACTTCCGGGAACGGCCGTGTGCAAAAAATTTCCTATATATTTCGCCGCATAAACAGTGACGTCACTTTAAAATTTGCATGAATGGAATGAAAAAAATAAAAAAATAAAAAAAAAATTCAAATAAATTTAATGATAATTATTAAAGCATGAAGTATTATTGCACAGGCGCTTCTTTGTGTGTTGCGCACCTTTTTAGATGCATGCTCACACCGAACACTTTGCACATATTGTTTCTTGTATGTCGTGAATTTGCAGTCCTGCCGCTGTAATAGTCTGTCGTCAACCAATTATTTATTTATTTATTTATTTATTATTTTTTTTTAAATACCAAAAACTCTTATAAATATTCTATGTGCAGAATTTGTCTTTTGTTTTTTTTTTTAAATGTTTTTAGTATTTTAGTTGTTTACTTGTGAGTGGTAAGTACCTTAAGTTACGTAACTTAATTAAAGAAATAAAAAAAAAAAGAAAACACGAGCTTACCTATTCCAATTAGAAATGTGGAAGAGGTATCGATTACATACGTTTACACCTTTTTATTTTCTTATTTTTATTATTAATTTATACGTTTTTTATTGTAGTCAGTTTGTTTTTCATTTATTAATTTATGTCATACTTTTTACACATCGTGCATTTCGTGATTTACGTCTTCCATTATTTGTTTTTTATGTTTTTCTTTTCGAACGATTCGTCTGTTGTTCTGTTAGCTTCTTCTCACCTCGAAAGAAAGGAGATTTCGTCACACAATGTGATTTTTCCATCCCTTAAACGTCTCATCACGTTATTCGTTCATAAGAAAATTACATTTATAAACTGTAAAAAGTGATGCGGAAGGAAGAATGAATGAATCTTTATTCATCGACACAATAATGGATACAGAAGAAATTCTTTGGTGGATTCTATATCTTGCTGATGCAACACGTTTTCGGTTATCAAGTTATGCGATAAAGCGGGGTGTAGCGGGGTAAGCAGAAAATACAAAAATGGGACTTTTATTCGTTGTTGTAACGATTTTCGGACGTTCTATCGAAGCGAACAGAACGACAGACGGATGATGATTTTCGTTTGTTTCTTTTTTTACTGCACGTTTAAGTGTTCTTTCCCTTTTTTGAGTTTTATATATATATATATATATATATTTTATATTTTTTGATAGGTGAAAACCATCTTTCTTATCTGGTTGCCGTGGATATTGAGAATGGACAGACCTGGCAGGAAGATAACTAGAAAACAGTTATTTATGTCGACGAAGATGAAAGAATTGGAACTGAAGGAAAGATCTTCGCGAAGTCTGTTAGCTAACGTTTTGGATATAGACGACGATTTTCGCCAACCAAATAGTACGGGTGGATATATTCACATGCCGGGCGGGGAAGACGCATCTACTCTGCACACGTGCATCAGAGCGCAAAGAGAACTGAGTTGCATCCTGAAGGAATTGAGGTACATCACCACTCGAATGCGAAACGAAGACGAAGTGAACGACGTGATTGCCGAATGGAAATTCGCAGCCATGGTCGTCGATCGAGTGTGCCTCATTCTCTTTTCAGCATTCACCATCATATCCACGTGCGTCTGTCTGTTTTCGGCGCCGCATCTCATAGCCTAAATACATCACCGAAGCCAACTAGCAGCAGTCTCTACCTTTAGACCTATACACACAGACTGAGAGCTTAGTGGCATTCTCCACGAGTCGAATTTACTTACTCGTGCCAAAAACAAAAAAAATAATAATAATACCGAATCGGCTAGACGACTCAACAACGCGCAGAAGTCTGCCAAAGATCTTTCATATCATAGTTACATTATTATTATTATTATTATTATTATCGACCACAGAGTGTTGGCTCAATAATCGAGGTTGATTACAATAGAACCGGTTTCGATCCTTTTTTCTAGAATTTTAGCGATTCCGTGCAGTTTACAATGATATACCTTCTCTTGCTCAAAGCTACCTTCTATCTTTCTTCTCGTTAAGGAGTCGTAGATCCGAGAGAAACAAAATAAAAAATGTTTGGGCCAATCATTTCGCACGAAATTTCCCATATCTGGCCACGGACTGTAGGATCTAGGCGAAGATTTTCGCCACCTTTACTCGTGCCAAAAGTATGCCTTTATCGAAGCATACCACTTCAATCTTCCATAATACTCTTTAACTATTAGTTACATTTTATCGGAAGGGATCGGTAGAATTCATTTCCTTCTCCTAGATAGAAAAACAGCCGTCGAGACTCTTACCTTTATTTTCATTCTTTTACTAGACGAGTCAAAATATCGTAGAGCAGTCGTTTCGGTTACTATGCAAGATGGTGGATGCGGAGCGAGAGGAACGAGTAGACCTTAGACTCTTAGAAGATGCGGACGTCGGATCCGTAAATGATCAAAAATATACTGATACGGCTTATTATTATCAGCTCTGATAGAGGTAGATCCGTTCCCCGTACGTTTTTTCCATCTAAATTTTAAGGACAATCCCGACTTGGTCGCAGCCTCGGGCTGATCAAACACGTAAACTGCCTAATCATTTGCTCAGCTCTTCATTCAGAGAATAATTCTTCAAGAGGTCTCTCAAAAGTCGATTCTCTAGCGAAAAGTCTTAAAAGTTATGTCTTAGTGGACGAAATAAGTTCGGAATGTACGATAATAAGGTAACGAATAAACCGAGTCTTTTATAAATCGTTCGTTTTTGTCTCCATTCTTTCTCGTCTATCCCCTTGTTTCGACCTTAGTTTAGCCCGATTCCTCTACGATCCGCGAAGGAGTTTAGTAGAGTAGCTAGAGAGCGTGTAATTATTAATTATGTTCTTTTCGGTCCGACGGCTCATCACAAAGAAGAGATGGCTACCGCTAGATGGCGCTACTCTGCTAGCGAGACACGTAGCGCCACCTACTCTGCTAGACAGCTACGTAGCGCCATCTAGCAGTAGCTATCTGTAACTCAGTTTTTTTTTTTCTATACGGGACCCGTTCCAAAAATGTTCTAGCAGTCGATTAAGGGGAGCGGGCAGTTGGCCAAAGCGCCGATCGAACGAAAACATTCCTCGACGACATTATTTTTAAAGTATCTGGCAGATGGCGCCAAACGTATCGAGGAAATGGAAAAATTCCGATCTGGAAAATGCGAGCCCACTCCCGTTATTGGTTCCTAACGACCGGACTGGGTAACACGTCGAAAGACTCACTTTCGGCCATTTTCTCGGAAACAAATCCACTCCAACATCCACCCCTGGAGTAGCTGGAGTGGAAGCATCATTTTCTCGGATCGTTTGTCTAGCAAACGATACCCGTTCGACGATTGTTGGATATTGTAGTAAAGACTCTCCCGCCATGCCAATATTGTATTTCCACAATACCATCGACTGTACAAAGAAAGTGTATGAGTTTTATCCAAAAGAAAAGAGAGAAAAAAACTTTACGTAAGAAAACGATGTACAATAATGCACATGATAATGGCATCCGAGATTGTGTACTCTACGAATGGAGACACTTAAAACGCCTTTTGTATCCCACGATTTAGAAGATTGCCGAACAGTTAACCAGTAAGAAAAGAAAACACAAAGTAATGCGGAAAATAGTATCGTTAGTATTTTCCAAAATGGATTTATCCTTTTGCTCTTTCGTGTAATGCGGTGAAGGCGAACTACAGCCATAAAGAATAAACGAATAAATCGGTTTTGTTGGGGATATAAGTTATAAAAACGAATTAAGATGATGAATGAAGATGAAATTTATCATTTAGAATACCTTCGTGACACGTTATTAATAATTAAACGATATTTTCTCACGTTTCCAGCTTTGATTCACTCCTTCGGTGAGATGATGCGAGAGAAGAAAGTGATGGCTTTTGAACATCTTTGAGAAGAATTGCTAGAAGATAACAATTTAATTAATGAGAAACTTGAAAATCGTTGCGTTTAATCGGTAATTTTATGCAGAAATTATAAATAAAATTCGACTCGAATTATTAAATTATTTCAATGACGAGTCAATGGAACTTGAACTTTTCATTTAAGTTATATACAATTGGCGAAGCGTAGGATTTATTTAAATGCAGAAAATTCATGCAAATTATTTAAGAATATTACATTCGACTTTAAAATCGTATCAAAAAAGGTTTTACGGGCTGACGAACTTAATCAAAAACTGATTTGTTTATTCGCGTGTTCGCATATCTTTTATTAAAAGTGTTGTTTCGATTCAGTCTCGATTATTCCCAGCATCTGTTTGTCACTCGAACACAAGCAATTCAAGAGAAAAAAGTGAGTGAAAATTGTAAAAAAAAATCCGTCGACAGAGGAAAGAAGAAGAGGAAGAAGTGGAGGAGGAGGAAAAGGAGGAGGAGGAAGCCGCAAACCAATCTTAGATTTTTAAAGAAATTCCTTTCTGGAACAGAGAAAGAACTGGAGTGTCTTCTTCTTTTTTTAACATGCTTTAAGGAAGATAAAGTTCTTACAACGACAATGTAAGAAGGGGAAGATATCTATTTTTCCAACCAAGATATAATACAAAGTTGGAAAAAGGGGGCTTTTATCTGTAGACGGCATTTTCTTTATAAAAAAAAAAGAATTATTTCCTTTCTTCTACCGACACGAGGAGGCATTTTCTGCATCGTGCCACTCCCATAATCCTCTATTAATTTCTCTGTACTGGGGTGGTTTTTGCCGGTTCGATAAACAGTCCACTTTCTACACGTTACGCGCTTTAATTAATTAATTAATGCGAGAAACGTGTAGAAATATGATGACTAATGACAGATATAATTTCATTTCGATCGACGAAGATGATTTATCAAAAGTGTTATGAATTACAGAATAAAGTGCATGTTCCGCCACTTCTAATTCGAATGAGTTCGTTTTAAGAAACGTCACACGTAACGACAACCAACACGTAGATTGTCGTACGTGTGACGACAATCCACAAATTAAATTAGTAAAGAAATTTTTAACTTAACATGTTAAATTTTCGGATTTTGTAAAAGTATCTTGAGATAATTATTTCTAATATGATTCCTAAGTTTCAAGATGCTGGAAAAGAGAGAATCCCTTCATAAGATGTGGGAGAGATGAGACTCTCTTCATAAGATGCTGAGAAGAGAGAATCCTTCATAAGATGTGGGAGAGATGAGACTCTCTTCATAAGATGCTGAGAAGAGAGAATCATTCATAAGATGCGGGAGAGATGAGACTCTCTTCATAAGATGTCGAAAAGAGGGAATCCCTGCATAAGATGTTGGAGAAGTGAGATGCCTCTTATAAGATGCTGAGAAGAGAGAATTTCTTCATACGTTGCTGGAGAAAAAAATAATCTTTTATAAAATGCTAGAGAAGAAAGAAGCCCTTCAAAAGATCGTGGAGAGAAGAGACTTCCTTCATAAAATGCCAAGAAGAAGAAAATACCTTCATGTGATGCTGGAGAGAAGAGACTCCCTTCATATGAATGTAGGAAAAAAAAAGAATTCCTTCATAAGATGCCGAACAAGAGAGAATCTCTTTTGTAATTCGAAATTTTTAAAGAACATTTTTAATATTACTGTAAAAACTAAATGATCAAGTGTCATTTTCTAAGCACCACTAATGCGGAGAAAGAAAAAAAATATTCGAGATAAACATAAATATGTTCAAAATATATGAGGAAATCTATTTGATAAGAAACATTTTTAGTTATAAAATAGTAAATCTCGTAATATATTATCCATTTTGACTAATTTTGACTACATTTATTCATTATTCAATGCGTTACTCATCAATCTTTCGACAGTAAATTGTCGTTCTTTCATTAAGAAACGGCAAGGAATGAGTTGATTTCGTGATAAATTACCCCGAAAAACTAAATAAAATAATATTAAACATAGTAAATTTATCAAAATCAAATATTATATTATGTATTTTCATTTTTACACTGTCTAAATTTAAAATTTTCTTTAAATTATTAGTTAATGCATATTTTAGAAGCGTATCTCGCTGTTAAAATATAAAAGAAAATTGAGATTCTACATAATATACATTTTTCTTTACACAGTCGAACTTACAATAAGGGCCACCTCCTAACAACGGACACCTTTAACAAGAAGTGTTACTTTATCCAGGAACGTTTTCTGCTTTTTGAAAAGAAATGCATAAAAAAATAACCCTCAAACAACGGCCTTTTTTTTAGTGTTTCCTTTAGTGACCGTTGTTGAAAGGTTTTGATAAACGATCGTTTAATTACATCACAAATCAGGCACGTAATATATTTATTGTGTTACGTGAATCTACTCCGTTCTTTTCTAGAAACTCGAAAGAAATAACTAAACAATTAATCACTTTTCGTGATTCATAGTGTCAAAAGTTTAAATTATTTTCTCTCGAGTGCCGAACTTCAACACAAAATTGTTCTCTGTTCTCTTTACTCTTTAAATTATTACACTTCTGTAACGTGGACAGATATAAATTGTGCAGCAAAACAGAGCGTTATATCCAAGAACCATATCAAGATAACGAGTTAAAGCAACATCCAATATCTTGATTTACTAACGAAACACCAAGTGATTTACTCCTATTCACTTTACATTAATTTAAAAATGGTGGAAACGTATAGAACAGGTGAATAACTTGTTGGGCTGCAATTTAAAAATATTGTAAACCTATAAATTTCCCCTTTCCTTCTTTAATCTAGGTGTTAGTTTAATTTAAAATATATGCTCTCCACCTCAAATTAGTAATGGCTTGCCCCTGTAAATCTTACTTTTC